GAGCATAAAAATAATACTACAATTTAAATAATAGAATATTTTTAGAACTTTCTAATCGTCAGGATATGACGAACGAGGAAGGAGATACTGCTAGTACCGTTTTGATGCTGTCGACGACTACACCAAACGGGATAGCCCCGCCGGACCCTCAACCCCGAGATTCATTTGCGTCGCTCAATCTTGATCCCTGAACCTCCGAAATGGAAGTCCGACACCTTAGCCGATAGTGTCAGGCCCAAGGCTAAGCCTCTTACTAGCGGACACCTATGTAAATGAATAGCGCTCAACGCGCGGACCTACTAAAACGCTTCGAAGTCGCATAGTTGTCGGTGTCGCCTTCCGTATGTATGCATAGGTCACGAATAAACACACCAATCAAGAGACAGAATCCATCTAATTTAAATTGAATCAGAAATAAACGTCTGGTCGCCGACTTTCACGATCATCAATTTTAAATTAAAAAAAATAAAAATAAAAAATCACGCACGCCTCAAATCTGTGCGCCCACACACTCTCTACTCTAGTCAATCGTCCAGCCAACGTAAACCACAGACGCAGCCGCGCCTCGTGCGGAATACTTAAACTTTAAACCAAAGCTATTTCTGTCGCTTGCAAAAATCAGGGCGGATACCCTTGTAAGGGTATTCGCACCGACACAGTACCATTGAACTCTCGATGGCTAGGCGTCCGGACTCTGCCTACTACTACTCCAAGCTCTAACTTCTCGAGCTTACCTCCATCTCTTCTTCATTTCGACTGTGTGTGTGCATGCTTGTGGTGGGGGGGTGATGTTTGGCTACTTCGGCGAAACCCTGTTCGGTTTCCTGGAATGCATGAGTGACGCGTGTGTAAGGCTTCCCGCTCTCCGTCGACGATGGCGAAGATGGCGGCGAAGCAGTGGCACAGCTGGACCGCGAAGGTCCCCTGGCCAAACACCGGTTCGGAACGGCGCAATAGAGCGTAAACCGTCCAGCCGCCGCGTCCCCCCTCCATCTTTGGGAAGGTGTCTGCAGAGCCTGGGTTGACCATCCTCCAGATAGAAAAACTCCCCCGGAGACAAAGGAAGAAGTGCTGGGACAGTGTATTTTTGAGAACCCGCTGATAACTAATGAAGAGGGGAATGAGCTCCCAGCAAATGCCGCGCCAGGGTCATTCGGGAAGACTTGGGTCCAGCGAGGGGTGACCAAGGTGGGTGACCTGTGGGACTCGCTGCTGGGAACATGGAAGCAAGGGGGGGAGGTGTATGCCAAACTTCAAGGCCTGAGAAACGTAGAGCAGCACCTGACAATGATCAGACAGGCTATCCCGCAGACGTGGAAGGAACTGCTCGGTCCAGAGGGGCGGGACCCGGAAAATACCTGGTACGCCCCATCGAACCGGACAACGCCTCCTACAGTATGGAGACTGCAAAGGATTACCGGGAGCGGGTTCAGGAAAGTGTCAGAGTGGATAGTTGGTCCTACAGATGTGGGACTGAGAGAGGGGCCGGAGCGGACGATCCAGCAGTGGGACAACCCGCCACAGATACGGGTAATAGAAAAGAGGGATGGAAGAGGCAGGGTGGCACAGACACAGTGGGTAGGACAGACCCATTACGTAGCCTCCAGATCGACCCGGAAGCATGGAGCTGGTCAGGAGGAAGAGTCACGAGGGCGCGCCCGCAAGGCCTGAACTTAACAGTGTACTCCCCAGGGGAGTCCTATGAAACTTCGGCTAGGACAACAAGGACTCCGGCAGCAGTTGCAGTAGAAAGATGGAGTGCAGTTCTCCCGCTGGACCTCCAGGAGGAGACAGAGAGCTTCAGGAAGCTATGGAGGGTACTGCAGGACCTACCGAATGTAAAGCACGCAAGTATCCTGTGGATGCTGCCTCTGTTGACAACACCCTCTGCAGTTTGGTTATGTGCAAGGGGGGTGGAGGTAGAGTTGGGCTGCACCCGTTGCAGATGGCCGTTTGAATCCACCCGTCATCTTTGGTGGGAGTGTCCAGCCTCCAAACGTGTATGGCGCCGGTGGGAGACACACTGGCACTTGATGGGAGGGGAGGGTATAGAATGGGATGAGAAATGGGTTCTCCTGGGCTTTACTTCGGAGGACTGTACGGGCCTGAGAGGGTGGCCATATGTTGCACACGTGGTCAGGGCGGTAATCTGTGCGGTTATTTGGGCCGACCGGAACCGGTCAAGATTTGAGAGGCGCCCGTTCACGGATACTGAGATCAAAGCAGCAATCAAAAAGGGTATAAGACAGGCAATTGCTGTAGACTGGCGGAGGAAGGCAAAGGAAGGAAAAGCCTGCCGCCGTCAGCTGTGGTGGTTCTTAAGGACATGGGCAATTCGGAACCAGTTGAGAGGCTACCACCGGACTTGGGGGCTGCTGTTCTCGAATTGGCTGACTACCTAAGGGGAGGGGGGCGCTTAGGGGAGTAAATAGAGTTTTGGTACACGAACCAGGGTACCTAGGTTCGAGGTGTCGACCGCAGGAGGTCATTGAGGGGTGGAGGGTGGAAGAGTGCCACGGTGACTTGGAACAGCGGTTCCGACGGTCAAGTTAGGCCGGGGTCAGGCCGGTTAGGCCTTTGTAAGTAGGTGAGAGCAGAGTAGGGCTAGGGTAGAGGTAGGGTAGTGTAAGTTACAGTAGGCGTCTTCTGAGTTAAGATAGGAGTTTCAGTTGGAGGAAGAGTCAATCAAATATGTTGGGGGCGCAGTTGCTGATAAGGTAGGAGATTTCAATGACGTTGCTCAAAGTAAAGTGTAGTGTGGGTTTGGTATTCCAGCCTTGATGGCTGTAAGCGAAACCGGCTAAGGGTGCTGGGATAACTCCGGGTTGAATTGTGAGGTCCCCGGCCTCAAAGTTTGGATTTTGGGAACGAATTGGATGGTTTATACCACAAAAAAAAAAAAAAAAAAAAACACAAAATGAAGTCCCATTGGTCCGCACATTTGCTGCCCATAGGGACGTCCAGGGCTCCGCAAAGCCTCGGCAAAAGGGATCCCCTGCGTTGCCAGCCGTGACAGCGCTCTGATGTGCGTGTATTTGGCGCGCCCCCTGGTTCTTTTCTTGAGAGCTCGCGTACCATTTGACCACGTGGCTGAATGGCACACACACACACACACATGAACCGCTGCATACTTGGAATCGTACCTTCAGATACCTCCTGGGAAGTATCGAACAGGAACATGAACATGAACACGCAATCCAACCACTTTTGGTGGCGGTTCTCCGGACTCGGTTGCCGCACACGAGAGGCGACGCGCACGCACGGTCTGCGCCCGACGGGCGGGGCGGGGCGGGGCGGGGCGGGGCGGGGCGAACAGTTGCACGATGGACATGCCGGCGATCGGCCCCTTTCGGCGAAGCGATCATGGCAAGAGAAGTGTGCCGCGGGGTTCGGCACGGCGCGGAGGGAGCCTGTCTCTTATAC